ACAATTTCAGGAGATTATCTCTCAAATATCCTTCAATAGGTGATAAGAATTATTTATTTTTTTTTAATCAGACTTTTCTCCTGCACAGAAGATTAATCATCTACACTTCACGCACTTTATCTCTGATGCCACCATCAGGTTTGGATGAGATAGATCTATTTTACAGTAGGTTCTGATCTGTGATACAGTCCTGATTAACTGTTTTTCAATGAATTATTATTTGTTAACTTTATAAAGTTTTGTTTGTTCAGTCAAATGTGTCACTCTTAGCTGGTGAGCTTTATAAATTGATCCAGTAATGCCTTGAAAAGCTTTGTAGGAGAAATTGTGAGATAGGTTCCAAAAGAAACACATCAAGCAGGGTTTTCACGTGAGCTCTCATGTTCCACATGTTATTATAGTAAAACACTAAAGGAAAAAAAATTGGCAGAATCTGTAACATTTGGAAAAACATGTGATTTACAGGAAGGACAATGTCCACACTGAGTGAATCTTATATTTAATTACATATATTCAGAATCAGAATCAAGTTTATTGCACACTAGGTTTGCACTTACACGGAATTTAACTTGGTGTTGATGGTGCAGATAAATAAGATATACATACACAATACAGAATCTCAAGCTATATACAATATAAAACATACAGTATACTATATAATATATATACTCTATAGCTATGTACTATATACACAGTAGACTGCGTTAATGTAAAGGAGGACAATGCCACATTGGTGTAGCTTCTAGGTCCTGAACGGGGGGAGAGAGGCAGTGTCAGTGTCGTAGGGTTCTCAGGGCCTCTGGCCTTCATAAGGCTGGTAGCAAATGGGAAGAAACTGTTCTTGTGGCGTGATGTTTTGGTCCTGATGGACCACAGCCTCCTGCCAAAGGGAAGTGACTGAAATAGTTTGTGAATGGGGTGTGAGGGATCAGCCACAATCTGCATTGCATGCCTCAGAGTCCTGGAGGCGTACAGATCCTGGAGAGATGGAAGACTGCAGCCAATCACCTTCTCTGCAGACCGGATGACCCACTGCAGTCTGCCCTTGTCCTTGGCCGTGGCACCAGCATACCAGATAGTGATGGAGGAGGTGAGGATGGACTCAATGATGGAGGAGCAGAACTGCACCATCATTGTCCTTGGCAGGTTGAAATTTTTCAGCTGCTGCAGGAAGTACATCCTCTGCTGGGCTTTCTTGGTGAAGGAGTTGATGTTCAGCTTCCACTTTAGGTCCTGTGAGATGATTGTTCCCAGGATGTGGAAAGACTCCACAGTGACAATAAAGGTCACCATGTGGATTTACTGGGGCAGTAAGGTAAGAGCCACTAACTGGACAATTACCTCAGTAATGTTTGTATTTTAAATGGTAACCCTTACTGATGAATTTCTCCTTATTTCGCAAACAAACATGTCAGAAGATAAAAGAAGGGAAGGATTGGATCAGTGAGGACAGCTTTGTGACTTCAAGAATCTTGCTGCAGGTCCAAACCACCACCACTATCTATAAAATGTCATCTAATACAGGTGAGGTGGTAATGGACCATAATTTAGTGAATGATTTGTGGTTAAATTCTTTATAATTGAATATATATAAATCTTTAATCTCCCACCTCAGTTAAAGTGTTTATATATAAGTAATGGTAGGTTAACTGGTCTCTTCCTTTTAAATGTGAGTGAGTGCCTCTAATCAGTGCTGAAAGTCTCTGGCTTCATTTTTAAATTGGCAGTTTAATCCTAAAATCCTACGCTGTGCCATGTGTTTGGGGGGTTCTTGGGTAAGATTATTAAACTATTAGAGGTTCAGACAGGATTTGTGTAGCAAGCAAAAAAAATAGCATTCTGGTAAGAGTAGAAAAAGAGTTGGATTAATTCCTAAGAGCACAGAGGAAATTGCGACATATTGTAGGGGAAAAAACAAGCTTTAAAGGTGCAGTTATTGTGATATCATCGGATTGCATGTCAATAACATAAATTAATGTTGAGGCTTATTAAGGGGTGTTATTACATTTAGAGCAAAGCATTAACACAATTACATATTGTTAGATGTTTTACTCTTTTCTTTGATCAGATGCCCACTGACTTGTGGCTTGTAAGATTTTGAGTGGAGGATGTAATTAAACAGTTTTTTTTTCTTAAGTCTTTACTGGAGTAACCTAAATATTTCATTTTTTCTGCTTTTTGTAATATGCCTTCAACCAATCCAACCAATCGTAAACTTGTGTCATATAAATTGAAATACACATGACTCTTGGAACCTTAACTTTTCCAGAGAATAAGGTACAACCAACACTAATCACATGATTTGAACCCTTTTTTTGTTTGCCGTAACCAGTGATGTTAGAGTGACAGACACCTGGGTGTTCACCCTTACACATAACAGAAGCTTTCAACAAACTACTGATCCCGAGTGGCTCAAATATAAACTTATTCAGTGACCTGAGGTCAGGAAGGCAGCTGGCGACACGGGACCGCTCTAATACCAGTATTTACACAGCAGTACTATAAGAAAGCTGCTGAGGGACATTTAGCCTCATATAGCTGGAAGGTTATGTTTGAACCTATATGGGATCATTCTAACACGTGCGTGTGGACTAGGAAAAGAAAAAAAACACAAGAAAATAAAACACATATTTTATTATTTTATGTATTCCTGGTCAGGTTTTAGGTTAACTCTATTATTAGACCATTTTAAGTAAGCAGGCAACCTCTGATTTATTCCTGGGACAAAGAAAAGAACAAACAAGAAAAGGCAAACACATTTGGCCAAGGAGGAGTTAAGTTTGACAGAGACAAATCTGAAATTTCTAGAATAACCTTGCTTTTTACAATTTGACAATGGATAATTTCTATACTTAAAGACATAATAAAAAAAAATCATAATAGTAAAACTAGAATATTCTTTGTCATGGTCAGTTCAAATAGGATCACAGTATAATAATCAACTCAAAAACATCCTCTCAAATTGAAATGTTAAACCAACTCTGTATATTTAGAAGTGAGAAAAGTAAAGCTGATTTATGTTAGTGGAGCTGCAGAAAAGATGTGACAATCTGCATATTTTCTGGGACTTTCTACTTTTAAAATTCTATTGGCAATGAGCAATTAAAATAACGTTAAAACTTGATTTGCTACTTGATCCAACAATTTACATCTTGAAATTACCATTGGGTACACTGGGTAAAAATAAAGTTATTTTACTCCAATACTACAATTCTGCTTAATGGTTGCTATGGAAATGATTACACATTTCTGGCCCAGGGCACCCCTTCCCATTGTCCCAAATGTCTACATAATCAAAGAATTACTGCAAAACATCATTTGGAAATGTTTATAGACTTGTGGGCTCCTGTAAATGACCACTTTGGCTGGAGATTATTGGCTGCCTTCCTTTGACATATGAACACATTTGGTTTGAAAGCACAGGTTTTTTTTGTTATTTTACTTTCGAATTAGTTTCAAACTGAAATGAAAAAAATACATTTTGCTTGAATATTTTTTTTATTTGTTCATGTCATGTCATTGCACATTCTTCTTTTTTCATTAATGAACAAAAAAGAACAGAGGGAAGATAAATCTTGTATTATCTCTTCCTATATTTCCTATTTGATATTTCGAAAAACTAAATAATGAAATATTAAGAATATGCATCAGGATAGTGCTATTTATTAAAGTGGAAGATCCTGAGTAGTTTTGAATGCATTTTACGAGATCTAGAAGACACCTGAGAAGTTGAGGAGGAAGTTCAAACATGTATGCATCTACTGCTGACCAAACTGATGACAGCAGAGATCACAATCTCCACAAAAGGCTTTTAAGATCTGAATTCTATTCCTGCAAACACTGAAGGACCTAAACTTAATGAAGAACAGTCTTCTCTGTCCCTTACTGTTAATGGACAGTTCAACAGGTGCATCTACTCCTCTCTGGCCTATAATAATAATAATAATGATGATTATTATTATTGGAGAAATTTACCTCTGCATTCAACCCATCTCATTTGGGTAGCAGTGGGCTGCCATCATGGGGCGCCTGGGGAGCAGTGTGCGGTTAAGGGTTTTGCTCAGAGACCCAGAGTGGCAGGCTGTGGGAGTGGGGAACTCAGAACCTCAGGACTCCAAGCTCTGTGCCCTAACCACAAGGCCGTCACATCCCCACTAAATGAACTGCTGGGATTTTAACCCAGGATCTCATGTTTACAACACAGGCACTTTGACCAACTAAGAGCACTTTTAGCAACAGCGCCATCTGCATAGATGCCCATATTACTCTGTTTTGAAATCCCTTTTTATAAGGCAGAATATCTTTACTCTGGGATAATCTAGTAAATGATCTGAATTTATATTGTTATTCATTGAAGCTCCATTTACCTATTAATTCACATCAACATGCAATTTAAGTCTAAGTTGCCTTATCCAGAGCCACATTGACATGAAGAACCTTGAATTGTGCAGACATCTTTCAGAATGCAAAACGTCTTTTAGAAAACTTCCTGTCCAGTTACCTAAATTGGACTTTTCAAGGAAAAAATTATCACTTTCCATTGAGCCACAGTTTCCAATTAAACAAGTAACTGCAGATCATCAGGGACCGATCTTACCCACATGCGAGGTCCTCTCCATCACAAGTTCAAATACCGTCTCTAATCCAATCTGATCTGTTATTAGCTGCATTTTTCAGCTTTGCGCCAGAGCTAACAAGCCTTTGAGAACTTTAACAGCTGGAAATGTTAAAATCCCACAAAGAAGATGAAGATCAATGAAAGCCGGAGTGTCCCACATAAATCATGCTGCTCTCCTCTGCTCTACAGCTCGCTGAAGGCCTTATAGTACCAGCAGTTCTCATGAAACCGATGGCTGTTATGGAAGAAGTCACACAGTGCAGGGTGATTTTTCAAGCAACTAGTTTTATTCAATCTAAAGCTCAAGTACATTTTAATGCTTATGCAGAGGCGTGACCATAAACCCCCCAACCCCCACTCAAAAAAAAAGGAATGATTGATAACAGGCAGCTTTGATGCAATGTTGACAATAAGGAAAAGATTAGTGAGGAATGCATTACCAAAGACTTTTTGGTGAAATGACACCAAATTGGGACACTGCTTTTCAAAAAGGGGAAACTATGAATCACTCAAAGTTTTTTTTCTGCAGAAAAATCCAGGTGCTCATTTAGGTTGCACACAAAAACAACTTCACGAGCCATTTGCTAAGAAAACACAGCACGCTGCACAGTTGACTCAAAAGCAGCATGAACACATAACTGTAAAAACAAAAGCAAGGTGGGATGCTTTATGTTGACTGAGGAGGAGGCTGTCAGTGTGTTTGATTACGGCAATGGGGACAAAGGTTAAGAGGTGGTAATCAGTCGGAGTTGGAGTGACGGACGAGGTGGGATCAGAGGCCCTGTAAAGCCGAGCTTGGTGCGATTCTGCATTCAGGAGGGGATCTTGTTTTACAAAGAGGGGACAAAACTTTTATGAATCAGCGAGCTGGAGAAGATAAAAACCACTTAGGGAAATATCAGTGCCAGACATTGAATGTCTGAGCCTCCCACAAGTTTTAGACAGCTCCATCTTTCCTGGGAGTCTCCAGGTCATCTGCATGTGACCTGTTATCAGCGGCATGGCTCAGGCCTCCAGATAGCATTAATCTGTCACGATAAGCATACAGCAGCTAAAACTGGAACGTTGGTGTCATAAGCTTCATCAAAGTGCTCTTTTTAGGTCTGTATTTCATGTTTTGGGGTCTGTTTTTAAATACATGTCAGGGGAAAATCCACCAAATAATCCATTGGATCATTCCAAGTCACAGGCTGCACAGTCTCCCCTCCTCTTCCTCCATCAGACTCCTGAATAACAGCAAAACAAAACAGTTCCTGTAAATAAAGTGGCTTACTTACAGACCGTGGGTGCAGATCTTAAAAAATGAGTCAAATCAGAGGTTTGTTTGAGCAGAAAACAAATTTTTTTTTTCAGTATGAAAACAGAAAATAGTTTTTTTAATCTTTGGTAAGAAGTGGCACACTTATAAACCATATGCAAGAACATTTTGGGTGTCATGTAAATATATATATATTATATACATGACACCCTATATATACCCATATATATATATATATATATATATATATATATATATATATATATATATATATATATATATATATATATATATATATATATATACACACACAAACACCATAGGTTGTATTTGTGTACCATTTCAGACGGGGTTAAAAACTGATTGACAAGTAAACCCAGATGTTTTATCATTAGGTTCTGAAATGTAAACCTGTGCTCTGAAAGAGGAGCGTCACATAAATCAGGAAGGATCGCTGTGTCACACAGCAGAAGAACAACAACTGCAGAATGAGTTACACCACATCATGTTGCTCACATTTGCAGCAAAGTTATGCACAGAACATCTGTCAGAACTGATCTGAAATGCTTTCACGGGCCATAAGCCACCCAGTAATATGCTGGAGCATATTTGGCTGGGAGGCCTCTGAAGCTTTTTGTTACTGGGTTTGAGGGAGCTAAAACTGTGGTGAATTAGAAAATGTTTCTAAAGGGGGTGAGCTGACATTAGACGGAGGAGCAGACAGTAAAAGGTCTTTTAAAGCTTATTCTCATGTGTCTCTCTGCTCTGGTTTGAAACAGGGCCCCCTGTGGGTCAGAGGCGGCGAAACAGGCAGCAGAGGATGTCTGTGGCAGTGAGATGGAATGGCAGAAGTGCGTCACTTCACATAGCAGGATGGCAGATGGGTGAACCACCTCAGTGAACCGAGGGAAATGACAAGAAAGCTCCAAGGTCATATGCAGGAAGCTGCATCACATCCACGAGCTGTTTCCTGGTGACCCAGGCGGACACGGATGTCAACCCTGCCTTCAGGAACATCTTTAAAAGAAAACTGCGGATTTCCAGCTGAAACTATGTGAGATAGACCATGAAATAACCTGCACATTTTTCCCTGCTGGGGTTTTTGCAGGAGTATAGGGAACAGAGAAAAAGTCTTATACGTTTTGCTTCTTATGAATGAAGATCTAATAAAATGAATGTATTGATCTACAGAAACATTTTGATGTGATGCCCGTTCAAATCTATGTTGTAACCGCAAGCTTCAGCTCTGAGTTTCCAGGCTCTACAAATGTTGTTTTTAATAAAAGAGTTAATAATTAAATGCTGGTGAAAGAAAAGTCAAATTTACAATTGCACAAAAACCATGAAGATGCTAGAAACATGGAGAAGATTGAGCTATAATCAGATGATTCCTGAATCAAATCAAAATAACAACATGATCACAACATTTACACAATGAAACATGCGGGTGGCAGCATGATGCTGTGGAGAAACATTCAGTTTAAGTGGCACGGAAAAGCTGAAAGCTAATGGCTGCTAGTAAAAGGAGGGCAGCCATCTTTTTTTTATATCACCTGATCCACATCTCATTAGTGGTTTGGATGAAAACATCCAAACAACAAGGTCAAAATCCACATGGCTACTGGAAACCAATGTATGAAACATGTCCTAACATTTACTAGCTGACAAAAAAAAAAATTGCAGTTCTGCTGACAGCTGAGTCCTCGTTGGAGTGTCTATAGTTCTGTTTTTGGTCTTTTTTACCTAATGGTTTGATCAAGTCTTTACACGTTGAACACAGTTTGAACCAGTCTGTTTCTCCCAGCTTCTGTTGCTTTTTTCAAACTAAAGTCAAACTTGTTACAATCCCGCAGGATAGTTTGTGACTACTAGGTTTTTCTGCTTCTGAGACTTTGATCAAAGTGTTTAGCAATAAAACAATCATTTCCATTTAACTATTTATACCCTAAAAATACAATGTTTGTTATTACAATGCGGGAAAATGTGTAAATGTTCGCAGGGTGGGAATTCCTTTGCAAGGCACAATGAATGCACATTTTTGCTCTGATTTAGGACTAGATATCTGTTAATATTTGAACAAAAAGAAGTCAAACTGGGAATCCAGTAGATCCAAATCTAACATAAACATCCCAGGACCACCATGCTCTGTCCTTTAAACCCACCAATAGACACTTCCTAAAGGCAAACACGGTGGTGCACCATCTGGTTCATCTGACCTTCTGCCATGGAGAGACATATTTTCAAAAAATGTCAGATACAGCTAAAAACTCTGGGTTATAACTGCAAGCAGACTTGATGAGAACATTTAAGAAGTTGACAAACTTATCAGTGCAATCACTTTGTGCAGTGTTTTTTCTTTAAATAAAATATCTACTATGCCTTCATCTTGACTGACAGTCATACTAACAACAAAGCTCACGTTCCCAGAATCTTCTGAAGTCTCTCTATAAACCCTTGTGGCAACGACACAATGAGTGCGATAAAATATTACTGTGTTCTAGAAATGTTGGTCCACAGCTTCATTCTGAGAGTTGAGGGAGAGTTTATGCATTTATAATTTAGAATCAGTATGTATCAGACTTTTGCAATGTTCTGCTAAGACAAGAAAGCTGATTGATCTGAGAAGGGAAATTGAACTTTTGCTCACAATCAATCAGAAAAAAACTGATACTAGTCGATCTATTTACATTTATTTACAGTGTGCATTAAAAATTTTCAGTTATTATTTAAATTATTTTAAGTAATTATTTAAGTATTTCAAATAATTTGATTCAAAATTTTTGCTATAGATATTAAGGCTTCTACAACCTAACCAGAAGAAAACTAAAGTGATTGTGTTTTTCCAACAAATAATCAAAGTGCTTTTCATCTTGGGGTATCCTTTAGACCAGCGGTCTGCAACCTGCGGCTATTTGATCCTCCTGCAATGGCTCTTAATCATGGCTAAAATGATAAGTGTTATATCATTTGTTCATATCAAGTGTTGGTTTTGAGTACAGTAAAATAGCAAATGGCAGTTTTAGAAGCTCAAGTAGTTTTTCAAACAAAATGAAAATTTATTTTCCACAACAGAACGACAATAAAAAGAACCAATATTATGTTTAAAGGTCTATTTTTCATCATTAGCTTGGAATCTATGTGTTTTATTTAACATAATTTTCCACAGAAAAACATCCAGAAAATCATTACCCAAAATAAACTTGTAGGTCTCAGGCAGAGAATAACGTTCTAGTTGGAAACACATTATTTTAATCAAAACATCATGTATATCTGCAGCTCTTTTTTTTAGCTGCATTCAGGTTAGAAATGGCACTATAGATTTTAAAGATTGCAGACTCTTGCTTTAAACTTTTTTTTAGAATGCACCTTACATTTCTTTTGATCAGGTTTTAGCCTTACAGCAGTGCTTTTACTAAATGGGACTTTTATCCAAGCTGAAACCATTTTTCTCTTTTAAAATCTTTGATCAGTTTAACCTTATGCTTATTTACAGCAGTGCAGTGTTAGTCAGGCTGTCTTTGCATGACTGGAGTTGATCTAGTATGATGCAGCTTGGTTTCTGATCTGTACTAAAAGGTGGGAACATGTTTCCAAAATACAAATTTTTTAATGAACTCCCTTTTGATTTTATTTCATTTTAAGTTTTATTGCTGACTTATAAGGCACTATTCGAACAGGCTCCTTAGTGTGTCTGAAGTCCTAAAGCCTTATGTGCCCTCCTGGTACCTGATATCCAATGAAGACTTGTTTTTTGGCAGTCCCAAATCTGATGAAACATAATTGGTTGTAGCTCCTAAACTGTGGATTAAAATGCTCCAAAACATCAGATGGGCTCAGTCACATCTGCTCTTAGAGGCTTTGAATACTGGATGAGAGAAACGGTTAAACCAATGGGTGGGGTTATCTTTTCGCACCTCTGTACTCTTCTGAGGTCAACATTGCAGTTGTTTTAAATGAACGTGTCAACCCGAACATCAAACAGCAGAAGTTATAGCTGGTTTATTTGTAAACCTGTTCAGCTTGAAAATTAATAAGAGCCCCCCTAGTCATCTTTGATTAGCGCTGCAGATTTACTCTCTCAAAGTCCACATGAGTGGATGAAGAAACATCCAAAAACACTGATGGTTGAGGCTTCCCAGTTTTTAGAGTTATAACAAAAGGAATAAACCATATATTTAGCTTTATAGAGATAACTGCTGATACTTTTATAAAAAAAAAAAGTATTTAATTGAAAGTTGTCTAAAAGTTTATTACTACTGTTAATTCTCAATAATAAAGTGCTTGCTGCCCACATAAATATTTTTAGCTCTCGTTTAATTCTCTGCCCACAGCAGTGGACATCTGATTTTCATACCTGTAGGCTGCGATCTCCATGTCTCTTGCCATTTTCTCAGTGAGCAGCTCCTTGTATTCCTCACACTGCTCTTTTATCTGGGATTTGAAGTCAGCCTCCTGCTGCTTCATTTCTGTTATAGCAAACTGAAATATGGGCAAAGATTAGTGTATAATAGAAAAAAACAAAGATAACAGAAAATCCATCCAAACTGATAAAGACTGCATCAATCCTCTCTCTCATATACCTCTAACTCTGCAGTCTCTTCTGTGTAAGTTGCCCTCTTCACCTCAACTTCATCCAGCAGGTCCTCCTTTCTCTTCTCAAGATCATCTAGCTCCTTCTGTAGCTCTGAAATCTGCAGAAATACATGCAGCACCACCTGTTTATTTAAGCAGACTAACTTTATGTTCAGACCTTAAGCATACACTAGGTGGACTTTTAATAAATAAATAATAACACACTAGAATCTGGCATAAAACCTTTAGCTTATAACTGTTTAACCTCCTTAAATGTAATTTTCTTTAAATGTATTGGGTGTTTATAAATCCTTCCATTTAGTACAAAGTTATATTTTTGACCACTTGATGACCACAAATCCCAAAGTTTCTTGTCGCGTAGCTCTGATTTAGCCCTATTAGAGCTGTTTAACAAGGCCTTCAACCATGTCAGTACAATGCGTCACCAATGTGATCCAGATGGAAATATCTGGATGTATACCTAATGGATTGCCATCAAAATTCATGCAGACATTCATTGTTTCCAGATGAGGACTCTCACTGATTTTGGCAATCCCCCTGATCATTCGTACAGCGCTACCACAAAGTTCACATTTGTGGTTGAAATATTTCCGCAATAATTGGATGAATTGCAATGGTCAGCATAACTGTAAAACTTTAATTTCAATGGAGGCTGCAAACAAGAAAGAGGAGGGATCAATTTGCAAATCATAAAACTACAGTAATGAGTTACAAGGGGTCGGTTAGTTAAAAACCACCACTGGAAACCTATTATAATACTTTATATAAGAGCTGAAGTACATTTTAATGTTACATATTTTAATTAGAAACAGCTTTCTTTAAAGTGAATTTAATATATAGTTCATTATTTTTCTGTTTTTTAAATATATTTTCGGATGAATATTTCCCAGCTAATAATTTAAAGGAGTACTACATCTCCATTAATAACACTCCACTTTTTAAGGCACTATTTAAAACAACCTGAAAGGAATCTGTTAATGGGACAACTAGTCTTTGTGGACTAATTTGGACTTGGAAGGTAAAATTGTAAAATTTAGAAGAGAAGCAGAAGGAAATATTAAGAGAAAGACCTACTTTTGTTCAGGCTGTTTTAAAAACTGCCCTGTTTTGCATAGCGAGAAAGATTTCACTGTCATCCACACAATGAAAGATAACAAGAGAATACAGAACAACATGGTTGTAAAATAAATATAACCTCAAATTGTTAAAATAGTCTGATAGAAAGATCGTTTCAACTGTTACTGATAAGCAGACTTTAAGAAGCAGTACAAAGCTTTTTAATGATACTGCCACCTGTGACCAAAACACAGAACTGCAGCACTCTTCTGCTCATTCTTGTGTCTCGTGCTTGTACTTGACACATGCTTGTTTTTTTGCTTTTTTTTACTTGCATGGAGTTGCCTTTGGTGTCTGAGTTGAGCAGGATGCTGGTCGATTGTTTGCTAGATTGGACCCATTTAACGTGAACATCCTTGCCCATTTAACGTGAACATCCAGATCTTGCAAACAGTGCGGGAAGTTCCGACATTAATAACAATCAGGGAAACTAGGCGACAGACTTTTAGATGCATCGGCTCTGGACTACTGAGGCGTCACTCTACCTGTCAAACCATGTTTTTCTGGGGCTGCTCAGTGTCGTAGTGGGTAGCACTGCTGCCTTGCAGAAAGAAGGTTCCGGGTACAATTCCCAGCCCAGGATCTTTCTGCATAAAGTTTGCATGTTCTCTCGGATTTAAGGTCATCTTTTTGAAGAGTGAACAATTATTGTTGCTGAGAATACACCAACATTTCTTTGGCTTAACAAAATAACCCATTATGAGAAAAAGGGTTTTGTCTTGATAGGTTTTAATATCTTCTGGATCTTTGATTTTCAGATCCCTTTTCTGCCTTTTTAGTGTTACAATTTGTGTATTGGTGTTACCAATACCAATCATTTCTACCTGACAACCCTGAGTGTGAAGGTGGCATATTTTATATACATAGGCTCCTTGTTCAAACCAGGAAAGGCCACATGGACTACTCTCCACAAAATGCGATTTTGGTCATCTTTCTTGATTAACGTTGTTCATTATTCATCTTTAGTAAGTGTTGCTGCTTGTACAGCTTTTTGACCAGTTAGGTAGGAGAGCGGGAAACGATGGTAAACGAACCATGGCAAACTGCTTATGTTTCTAACATTTCATCCACTTAAACTTGCAAACACACAAGTCAAATTCAAGTGCGTACCCTCAAGAAAAAGCATTAAAAGGAGTCCTAATGATCCCTATGTAACCTTTTTTTCTTCTAAACATTATTAAAAATGAATTTAAAGACAATTTCAGACAGATTGTTTTTGTCAGATAGCAGGCTATGACTCCTTTAATTTGACGATTTTCTCCCAGGTGGCAAAACTCTGGACAGAACATAGCTATATTTGGTAAAGTGAGTTAACAGACAAGAGAGTCTGAGAACTTGCAGCTTTAAACAATAGGTCTGGTTCCTGGGTGCATAGTAAAAGCTTTTGCACAGCATTGAACAGAGTAACCTATATTATTGTAACACAGTTTGTGCAATCACAAATCACAAATAAAGGCAGCTAACAGAAATAGGTATGGTAATTTTTTCAGGAGCATCCCTCCCTCATTGTCAGTATCGGTGTTGTCCTGCCATGAGTAACTGCAGCAATCGTAGAAGTTCAACAATTATCAGTCGTACCTAGATGGGATCAGGCTCACATTTCAGAGAAACCTCCAAGCAGAAGACAACCTGTTTCCCACTCCTGCAATCCTGATGACTTCCAAGCCAGTATAAGTTCTCTCCTTCCTTTCCCTTTGGCATGATAAGTGGAGTGGAGTCATGTATGTATATGCAAGTAGTGGCATTGGACGCCATCACAGCCTGTTCTATTATATACAGCCCTGAGTCAAGGCTGATTTCACTGCAATGTGTTTGTTTGGTCATGTTGTGTCTCAGTGAGAAACCAGACCCTGAGAATCCATCAGAGGCGAGAGGGGAAACAGAGCAGATCGAGCCGAGCTGTCCATCCGTCAGGTGGCGCTGACCTGAGCGGGGCTCGTGTTGGAGAGAAGTAGATGATGTCGGAGGGGCCGTGCTGTGGTTTCAGAGGCTCTGTGTTTATTTAGAGAGCTGGAAGTGGAGCCACAGCTTCGGTAATGAGAACCAAACCACCATGTTTGTTACAGATGTGGTCAGGTGCCAGCTGTGGTGAGACCGCTGATGGATGTTAAAGAGAGCAAGGCAGACTGAGAAGGAGGAGGTTTCTAGTCCCATCTGCTCACTTCACCTGAGTCTCATTATCTTTCAGTAATGTTATAAAGGGTTTTCTTTCGGGGATATTTTCTCTCAGAATGTGGGACATAATGTTTGATTTAGATTTATTTCCACTTTTCAAATTGGAACATATGTCTTGAGGCAGTGTGTGTATAAACTTTTAAGACTTTTATGACTCTGAAGCCAATCTGAAAGCCTGTGCTTAATAACCGAGGCCACTGAGGGAGATAAATCCTGTCTGAGCTGCAGACAGGCTCTTCACCTCTCCTGCAGAAATCGTCCTCAAAGTAAACACACTGCTCAGCAGGATCTCCCACACTGCTGCTCCCCTGTCACTTCTCTTTGCTCCTTCATCTGCGGTTGGAAACCATTCTTCTCTAGCCAATGGATGACATGAAGCCAGTTGTGGATTTAAAGCATGATCTGTTTCTGTGTTGCTAAAGAAGCACATTATTTATTATGAAATGATCTGGACCATTTTGTTGTAAAACAAAAGATAATTTAAAAGAGTTAAATATAAAGGTTTTCTTTCTAGCAGTGCTGGCTGTTAGCTTACAAAATATGTCTTATCAGCAACTTCCTGGTGATAAAACTGCCAAAGCTCTTGAAAAATGACCAACCTTGAAGTAAAAAACATGCTTTTTTAAACTTCTCTGATTTCTCAAGAGTGAGTGGAAACCAATGGTAGAAGTCTGAGCTCTAAAAGGCTTTGTTGCTATTAGACCAAACCCTCCATTACCTTTGACCAGCAAACTTATTTCTTTTAACTTGTGTTTTTGTCAACTATGCTTGGAAATCTTCAACTGACTTGAAAATCTAGGAGACTTTTTGTCATTAGATCTTCCATTAGCCAATAGCTTATTTTACAAGAGAACAGTTAAATCATTACCTCAAAACTTTAACATAAACATTACTTAAACTGAAATTATTCTATTGAAAATCTAAGAGTCCAGGATTTCTACTAGAGTGTCATTGGTCCTAAAACGCTGGCATGGGCTGGACTTAGCGTATTAATAAAGAATCCAGAGCATATGTCCAAAGATAGCCTAACTTATGCATAACGCACGGCAGCGTTTGCCCATGATGCATAAGCCTGTGTCCTGAGGGGGGCAGCAATGTGTCCAGAGGTGCCCGGCCTGCATAAAAAGATTTATTTCATCACGGTATTAACCTAGCTGCTGTTTACTGCCCACCAAAAAAATACAAATAAATAAAAAGAAGGACAGAAGGTTTGCAGTCGCAGCAGATTCAGCATCATGTCTGCTAGGATGTTTGATGGTTGTGGCCGTTGGTGCGTGAACGCAGAGAGGATCCCTCACACTCACCGTCTCGCTCACCCTATGATGGGTGTAAGTGACTATCATCCAAAAATTAGTCACAGAGAGGAGAGCAGGGGTCTGTTCAACTTGTTGAAGCCAAGGAGGACACGTAAAGCTTTACTGCAGTAAGGGTTTATTATACCCTTTTCCTGAGTAGCAATGTACTATAGACTTGCAGACTTAACTGGCTTTAAACTTGCGATCAAAATATTGGCACCCTGCCTTAGCCTATCTCTGTGTCAAACAAACAAACACAACCCTAGGCAGATCCAGGTGATATTCATTAGACAATCATTTAGCTAAAGACACATGCCAACACCCACTTTCAGCTCCACCCACATCTATACATACCTCTAACACATGCACCCTACCCCTAGTGACAAGACAAAAAATGCATCCTTGCCTCTACAATGGGGATGAAGTCTGGAGAATTGACAGTTTTCTTCTCTGAGCCCCCTTTTATACCAAAAACGCTGCCAATATGCCATTAAACAGTAGCTGTAAGTAAGAAACAAATTCAGCGGTGGTCCTGGAACACGTCAAATACGTTGATATACGTTGGAGAAAAATTCTTGACAAGTTACGCATAAGTTATGCACAAGTTTCTCATAGATTATGGATAAGATTGATGCCACGACTTATGAGCAACTTACACTTAATGTACATCAACAATCAGATAACTTATCTGTAAATTATGGCCAAAGTATGGCATAGGGCGGGAAATTTGGAGCATCTTCGAAAATTGCTCAACGTGCTTGCCAATGCTGACGTGTGTCCGCGTGTTTCAGCATACATCAGCGTGCTCATAACTTATACAAAACGTACCCATAACACATCCAACGTATGGCAGCATTTTAGCCAGATTTATTCATACGTCAGGCATACGCTGTCTAAATCTTCAAGGTGTGACAGTGTCTTTAGATTCAGATTTTAAGTTTAAAATCTTAAAACAGGTTTCCTTCAATTAAGGTTATGGTCCAATGTAAGGACTTAATCGTGACAAAAATGTTTTAAAAAATACACTTTCTCTCCCTATGCTAGATGTATTGTAAAATGTTGTCCATTTTGTTACCAATTAGTTCTTCAAAACACAACTATTCATTAACTTACTGAAGCTAAGTGGGATGGTAACAAAACTTCCAGGATATGTTTAAAAGTTTCTAGACTAAGGATAAAAAGTAATATTGCCTTAAAATACTGGAATGATCCACTGACTCATGTGAGATCAGTTCGGTGTTTTGAACAATTTAAAAAACATTCAAAACAACAGCTGCGGTTACCGTCTCTCTACTGTGGCTGAGCATCATGGGAAGCTGAATTTTATCAGATGGACCCTTTCTATATTATCTTTACATGCAGGTCTTGCCTCAGTGTTTGTGAGTTTTTCTGCAACGCTCTTCCATCCAATCCACCTCCAGGCACATGCTTATCCTCAGACTGGTTCTGGAGGTGTCTTTATAATTAAATATCAACTGGATATGTTCTGCCCCTGTCTTTCTGTGTGGCTAACGCTGTGAAAACCTTTAAACTGTAATTAAATTAATTTTTTTTTATTGGCACATTTATTGTCTTATCCAGCACTTTGTGATCTTTATCTGCAAATAGCCTTTCATGAATAAACTTTACTTACTAAATATTCAGGCTTTGATGCAAAGAAGCATGAAGCTGTTGGTGAAATTCGATTTCATTAAAACACAGGATTCTAAGTGCTCTTAGAAAATATAGTCCTACCTGGAGAAGTCTGTCATTTGAGCTGAACATAAAATGGGAAAATGGGAAAAATCTGTCTCTCTCTAACCTGGTATCAGGTAACGTGTTAATTAGTTATTTTAGGGGGGCCTTGCTTTTAAACAAATCCTGGATTTCCCAATGTTTTCATCTGTATGTCGAACCTGCATATTAAGAGAGCAGAGATGAATCTTTGTTTTCACAAGAAAATCTACAGCTAAACTCAGAACGCTTGAACCTTTTGTTGACAGAGATGTTCCACGAAATCAGCTGGTCTTTAGCCTGTTGGAGTCTAACCAGTAACTCGTTGGTTGGGAGCGTTTTTTCTTTTAATAAGTCGGACCTAATTACACTCACTCTCTGTTATTGTAAAGCAAATATTTTTTGTTCATAAATTCATCCAGGACTTGCATAAAAACATGATTTTTTTTAAGCCTGACACAGCCTCTTTCAAAACCACTTTGAATGGCTACATGTTTTATTTTTATTTTGATAACTCTCATTTGTAATGAAGTTAAAAAGAGAAGGAGGCCCACTCACCAAAGTCTTAATCTCATCCACATCAGTTATGTCTGTTGTATCTTTGACCACTGGCCAATCTGTTCCTCCCGCTTCCAGCGTCTGTCCATCATCTTTACCAGAGGAGGATGCTCTGAACCCCAGCTGAAGAAACAAACGATTAGCAGACAGTGCAGTTGTCTACAAGTTTGCAAAGTTGGAAAACAGAGATCGGACGAGAGGAGCCTCTCTTTGAGCCAAGTAAGTTCAGTTTGACAGACGGAGTAAAAAGACTATTTAGAATGTTGGATTGGTAAAGCTCTCCCTTCATGCACCTGATTTGTAATTACTTTGGAGGAAAGCATGCAGCTGAAACAAGCAGCATGAGGGGCGAGTGCACAGGTGTATGGGAGACAGCCAACAATCACCATTCCTGTTTAAATCCAACAGCAATCATTTTAACATCAAGACAATTGTGTCTCGTAATCGAGGCCAGGCGCAGACAGGACGCTGTCCAGCTGGCAGAGGAAGACGCTGAGTGGGAGGGAGAGAGTAAATAGATGGGATTTAAGCAGAAAAACCAGAATACAATCCCATCCACTCAGACACACAGATAATTCAAATATAAATGGGCCAGATATTCTTTTCTAATGCCTCTTAAAGCATACACTCTAAAGCAGAGAGGGAGCCTGGGAAGGCGGCCTGCAGTCTGATTACAGCCCTGACCTCTGAACCAGCAGACATCCTCACCCCAGATGGGGTCAGACCCACCGGAGTTCCATTCTGACCCCGATGCAGTACCTCCGAACATACAGAGGTGGACCAAAGGCATTCTGTCCAGGTCCAGGACTTCAGTCCTGATTCTCAGGTTTTCCTCCTCTGTTGTGTTAAGAGGTAAAGAAAACAAGTAGGGGTGTTGCGACGTGATTTGTGAAAGCTGAGATTTATGTGGAGACCCGAGCAGGCCGTTACAGAGGGGGGAGGAAGAGGAGGTGATCGGCCAAGGGGATGAGGAGCAGCTGTCTGAAGAACCTTCAATTTTATAATAATCTGTGCTGTAGCATTTTTTTCTTAAACAAGACTCACCATTAAAGGTTTAGAAATGTACAGATCTTAGTATAAAATTAACTGTCAGGCTTTGGAAAGAAAAAAAAAAGTACATTGTGTTTTATGAGTTTTACCTTGAAATATTTTTAGGTTTAAAGCCAGTGAGAGAGAACAGTGAATTTTAAACATGGTGTGTTTTGTGTCTTATGTTACTTATGTTTTGTACCTGGAGGCTCTGTGCCAGCTGGCAGTGGTACTCCTTTACATCCAAGGCTCTGGTGATGTCAGGGCTGCCAAACCTAATCGCAGCTGCTGCCAGAGTCCTTTCATCTGGCTGCAGCAGGCTCTGCACTTCCTGCATAGACATCCAACACACACAGAAACACACTGATCATTCTCTACAAAGCAGCAATTACATTCAGACACTACATATTATATACATTATTAGCCACAAGAAGGAAATGTACTGTAAGGCAATACTGAAAATCTGCTCTTAGTAATTTTTTTGACGGTTTGATATCCTAAGATATTCAAAATTACACTAAGGGAACATTTTAGTATTTAAACTTCGTTTAAAGAGGGAATGACAGGTACCATGAACTGCAAACCAATTTTACCGTGAGCCATGACAAAAGAGAGGTGAGGGTATGTGGAGAGAAGCCAACTTTTTCAGTGTGGAGCCACAGACCCAACATATTTCTGTATAGTTTCTCTGAGAATTGTAACATGGTTCCACAGCACCCCTAGAATATTTAAACGCTACATGTCCTGCAAACACATAGAGCCACAACAAACCTCCTGCTTTTAGGTCCTTAAAGCCTTAAACTTCTCTTAAAGTTCTATTTATTGACTATTCAAAGGTCAATAAATAGAACACAATACCATCAAATTGTGTTGTTTATTAATCAGTTTCACATGAGGAGTTGGTGTAAGCATTAACTTATCCTACCCCTCTTTGCCCCCATGCTTCACCATTGTTACCCTGCTGTTCTGAATTACATAGACATAGATCAAATATACTATAGGCTACAATATAGATATAGACATTTGTCATTTTTACAAAAGATGAATATTATTTGTTTTAACATTTGAGTACCGGTAGATATAATACACTTAACAGGAATGTATAATTATGACTACAGGAGCAAAAACAAAAATCATACCTTGTTTTAATTATTTAAAGGTCAAAGCTACAACTTTTTAATCAAAACATAATCATTTACAAAATAATACATACAATAAACATCTAATGTGGGGAAGAATAAAAGTATTATTTTTTATGTGCGTGTGTGTGTGTGTGTCGTGTCTGGAAATGAGGCAATAGGAACAGTTGTCCTAATGTCTGAAAGAGCCCAACATATTTTACTCTCAGTGGAGCATTATCGCTTTTGCCATAGTGCTCTGCTTGATATATACATGTAAATGGATTTATTATGGTTTATGTAGAGAATGATTCATGTTATGTGGACACATCAAAAAAGAAAAGAAAGAAAAGACAAAAGAGAGCTATTGATAATACTTCATCAGTCTGCTTCATCACCTGCAAAGAGAATATACATAGAAGTATTATTATACTGAAAATGATCCCTTTATTGTGCCACAATGGGGAAATTCTGGATAACTCTAAAGGTTGATGGGTCCAAATTGTATAAATATTAACTACAATGGTAACATTAACACTAAGAATTCTAAACAAACAGGAATAGCAGGTTGAAGTCAAGTGAAATGGAGCTCAGGTGTTGCCAGATAGTAGGGCTGTGATGATGCTGAGAAATGGATTCTTTTGGCATTAACTTTCTCAGTTCTAAGCAGAATAAAAAAAAAGCAAAACAAGGGTGAACGTTGATCGAGGTTCTGATTTTTAGTGCCAATTTAAGAAACCATGCAGATGTTGCCGTTTTCCTTCTGGATGGTTTCAATGTCTACAGTCACTGAATCGGATGAGCAGCTTTAACTGCAACTCTGTGGGTCATAATTATTTTTGTTTTCCATGAAAGAAGCTGAACATGAAATCATTACCTTTTGCATCAATTATTAAAGTATTGATATCTAATCAACATGAAGAAGTTATGAAGGAATGAAGCAGCTTGTCCTGCAACTGAAGGGTTTTCGGTTCAAGCCCCGGCCCCAGTTTTTCAACGTAGATCTGTCCTTGCGCAAGACACTTCACCCGGATTGCCGAGTGATTGATGATGGTCACAGGGCCTGGTGGCGCCTGTGTATGGTAGCCTCGCTTCTATCAGTGAGCCCCAAGGCAGCTGTGGCTACAATGTAGTTTGCCACCATGTGTGTGCATGAATGGTTGAATGACTGAATGTAGTGTAAAAAGCCTTGGTCAAGTCTCCTGATTTAAAAAAGCACTATACAAGTACAGGTAATTTACCAATGTTTCCTAATGAGGTAAGCAAACCTGTCAAATGGCCAGCAACCATTTTTATTGAAGAATGAAAGAAGAGCCGATGAAGTGCACCACCTACTGGCCAATAGGAGTTTACCTTGTAGCAAAACTGTGACAATACTTATTCTACCTATATTGATAGAGTCAACTGTGTATGACTGGTTAGAATAGTCGAAGATTGTGGGTTTGATTCCAGCTTCCCTCTGTCTCACACTGATTTGCCCCTGGGCAAGGCACTCAACCTGAAGTTGCCTACATGTTTGTCTGTTTCGTAGTAACACTGGGTGAAGTCAGTAGGACCAGAACAGCACTATATAAATGTGATCAATTTACTAATAAAAATTACTAAAAGAATAAAAATATGACATATTATTTCCAATCAAAACCTTTTTTTTTTTTTTTACAATGGTTTGAAATGTTTATGTCTGGACATTACTTCAGCTCTTTAATTCCTTCTGGTGGTTTTTACAATTTAAGGCTTAAAGTCAGCACTTACCTTTTGAAGCTGAAAAACATCTGCAGCATCTTCAACCTCTGCATTGATTGCTTCAATATTCAATGCATTCAGTTGCACATTAATTATCCAGATGCAACAGGAAAAAAAAAATTCTGCTGAAAAATGACATGGCTTCTGATTTAACAAATTAAAATTGGACACATGGGGGTCATCACATTAACGGTCGATAAGAAGAAGAATTTTATTCTTTTATTTGGGTTTTAGCCATATTTCCCACATTGTGAGTCATGCAGGTAGGTCCAGGGGGAGAAAAAAAAAGAGCAATGGAGTTTCTCCTGCTTCAGCTGTGAAGCTGGGCTGTGTCTGTCATCTTCTGGTGAGGAGGAGGATAACTGAACGGTGCAGAAAAGCAGGGCTGTGCAGCGATGAGGCATGGGTGCAAACATTCATTTTGAAGGATCACCTCAGAGGTTTTTCAAAGGAACAAGTAAACAGTAGATACTGGTGTATTTTAAGTTACTTAAACATTAGTATTGTCTTTGTCCCTACAGCCAAAGGAAACTCTTCACAGTGTAAATTAGTTCTCAACACATATATAAAAGTTTAAGTTTCTAAGTGTTTTAAGCTCAAATGGAAACTGCAGTTCTCAACGAGGAAACTTAAAATAGCCACCACTTCTCCTAAAAGATGGTTCTGAATAGGTTATATGGAAAATTACTGAGCCATCTAAGAACTGTAGCTGAAGGATGGATGAATGGATGGATGGATGGAAGGGTTCAAAACCAATTTTAAATATTTTTTTTTTTTACAACAATAAACTGTTACCGTTTTATCAGAAAGATCTCTCACCGTCTTATGCTGGGCCTCCATGTTGGCCAGCTGTTCCTCATAGACTGCCACTTGCTCCCTCAGTGCCAGGCACTCTGCTGTGACAGCATCTACCACCTGCAGAGGCAATCAAGCAAGCAGAAAAAACAGAATGAGATAAGTTTGAGTCTATAGTTTATTAAAATGCTAAAACTGCGTTTTCTTGACATACTATAGTGTTTTTGCACCACTATCACATGTGTATCTAACAAAAGATGTCGACACTGCATTGCAGAGGAAAAAGATAAAAAAGAAACCAGCTAGACGCAAAAGCCCTGTTGCCCAATAGATCTGCCAGCAGGGGTTCTCAGCTCACATGCTTCCTTTAATGATTAATCAGTGCTGGGTGCAGGCGCAGACAGTGCCTGCATTTCTGTTTCCATACAAGAGTTGGTGGCATAAATAAGAACCGTCTCTAGGAAGATGGAATATGGAAACAATCTTTAGCCATAGTTATTCTCTACCTTCTTTCACGTGAAAAAAATACCTGAGAGACTAAGGTTTGAGCATCTGTGTCTGTAAATCTGTTTAAAACGCTTCTGTTGTCCCTGTGTGAGAAACTCGTGACTATAAAAACTCTTGTGTATTTTTGCAAAATATTACTACTTGTCAGGGCATTAACCCTATTGGACAGTGATGCCAAAAGAAGGATAGACAGAGGTTGTTGCTTGACATTTAGAGTACATGTCCCAGGATGGAGAAAATAAGAAATAATGTCAGAAATTCACATTTATAGAAATATTACCAACAACATTTAACAAAATGTAGTATGAAGGTGCATCAGATGAAAATATGAATGTGGCACTAAAAATATAATGCCAGTAATTCAACGGCGGCCTTTTAAATTGACTGTTTTTAGAGCAGTAGAGCCCCTTGGGGCGCTGCTTTGTGACACTATACTGCATTGCCTTTTTCTATTTAAATATTGACCTTCAGCCACTGTCATAAACTTTAAATATGTCTATACTGCGTAAAAGCACTGTGATTCTTTATAATGGAGAGCATTGAATTGGATCCCTTTGGATGAGGCTCTGATCATCAGGGCCCAGGAGCTGTGCTCTATATATTAGATGGAAAATTTCTATTTTGATATATAGAGCTTTATGACAAATATGCATACAAAAAACTTGAATCTACAACTGAAAACTCTATGTGTAAATCATCATACCCATTGTGGATATGTTACAGTCACCCTGCTCTGCTTCACAACAATATTTTTAATGTTTATATGTAAAACAAAATCTTCCTACTCTGACAATTCACTCATAATGTTTATTTGGACTTGCTGTAAATGTTAAGAATTGAGGTGCATATTTGGAAACTTTGAAAGTCATTGCATTTAACAGGTGTAAGATAACTAGTCCGGAAAATTTGCTTTTCTGGTAGGGAGAAGAAGAGCTTGCAGTGGGTTAATATGTGCAATATTCCCTTATCTCCTCCACATCTCTGCTCTTCATCTATTTTCCTGCCAATTTCCCAACTAAAACCTTGTCGCACTGCAGCTGCAACCAATTCAGAACCAAAGAATTGAGCCAGCAGGGACATCACGCCACCATATTATGAAAAGCATGACATCTGTAAGGGAGAAATGAAAGCCTCTCCTACATCTGGTCCAGCTGCAGGCGTGTGTGAGGAGGGGGTGGGTTCTTGTGGGATTGTTGGAAAGTTGTTGGTTGTGTTGCAGATCAACAACTACAGGTTGATTGAACAAGAGTCCATCTGACTCACAGACTCATTCCTTTAACAGTACTGCCCCCTAGGGGTCAAATGCATCATTAGGATTTCAACATTTTCTTAATGGTATCAGTAATGAATGTTGAAAGTGTTATGTTTTCAAAATGTCTTTGGAAGTATTTAGCTTAGGATTTTAGCTTTTAATTTTATAACTTAAGTTATCAGTTTTATTTATTTTATTTGCATCAGTAAATCAAAAGCTGAGAAAAAAAAAAACTTTCATAATAAAGGGGGGGGGGGTGATTAAACAGTGGATGAACCGTACCTCTGCAACATCTTGTTGTCGCTGTTGGACAAGGAGCCGCTGATGTGCAGCCTTTTCGTAATCTTTCTGTAGAGATTTAAGTTCTTCTTTCAGTTCCTCTGTGTCACAAATGATCTCATCCTGCATTCAGAAGACAGTGAAAGCAAAAAATTATTCTGATTTCTATTGAGCACTATACAAGCTGTTATGGAAGCAATGGAGTAGGAGATGTTTTTGTTTCATCATATATGCACAGTTGCACACAAACCCAGATGTTCTCCTACCCTCTGCTTGCAGAGTCTTTCTGCAGCTGCTTCCAAACTGTACTCAGGCTTCACTAAAGTGGAGCTGATGCTGGGGGAGATGTGTTGACCATTACGATTGTCCTTCAGGTCAGTGATTTGGCATTCAAGTGAGTCATTCTCCTCCTCCAAACAACGGGCCTGAAAGGAGCGGACAGAGAAATAAAAAGGCATGAAAGCAAAGAAAATAAAAGGCTGTAGACTTGTTGAAGTTAGTGTCTGTCCACACCAACTCAATTAGTTTGACCAGCCGGTCATTAAGGGCAGCGATGGTGGTCCGCTCCTGTGCAAACCGGTCCAGACCTTCTCTGTTCAGAGCTTTTGCTGCTATGAAGTCTATTGTATCACAGCCACACTTCTCTACAGCTTCACTCCTGCAAGAAAAACAAACAAAAAAGGCTGAAGGATTGGAGATTTTTTTGTTTTTGCATCTGTTAAGCATCAAAGAAGAAAAATCTTTACTTCCTACCTTCTTGATAGAAAAGGTTTTGATGCAAAGGTATGCAAAAAAGCTTTACATACCAATGTAAAAGTTTATTATTAGAACAAAATGTGTTTACTTTCATTATATATGATATTATTATTATAATTATAGGAATGTATAATACATTCCTATAATTCAATTCAATTCAGTTTATTCATATATGCTGATGAAGATTCTCAGTCATCCAGGTAACAGTCATTCTGTAAAAGTTTAAAAAACTATCCACTGGACTTGGTTTCCAAGATTTGAAGACGTTTTGCTACCTCTCCAGGAAGCTTTCTCAATTCAAATGTCAATTCAAAAGTTCAGACAGACCATTCTCATTAAATGACTGTAATATTTAGAATGTATATCTCTGTGTGTTGCACCCTGACCTGGCAGAGGGTCGGTACCATCCTGCACGCTGCAGCCTTCCTCCATTTGGGCTCCACCTGTCGTCCTCAAACAGCTTGCGATAAGAAGAGACTCTGAGCATAGCCATGGCTGCTGATCGGTTCAAGATTCAAACAGCAACTGGCAAATATTGTCAGCAGCTCTTGACTTGGTTTTATAATAACAGGGGATATGAATGTGGCATTTAGGTGTTGCTCACTAATTATAGCATAAACCTCACCCAGGGAGGACTTCACATCTAGCTGAGGAATAAACCACTTAATCAACCAGACAGTTTTTTTCCCACTCTTCCTGTAATGAATGTAGCAACTATCAGTTACTTTGAATGATATTATTGTTCATCAATCTCAGTTGACCTTATATGTAATTGATCAGGACTGAAGAATTTTATGAATTACAAAAATAAAGGGAAAATAAGTATATATTTGAAAACTTAAGCATTAGTAAGTGGCAAAGACATGATTTGAATCATTTGATGAAGTATGTATTTATAGGACAGCTGCAGGAAACCTTTTTCTGTGGCGAGGTAAAGAAGTAAATAGTTTTAAACAGATCTCAGATCTTTTACTCTGATATGGAAATATAAACCTAAACAATGATTTCTTTGTTTAGTTCTGGTCTAAGAAAAAAAAATGGGTCAGCAGGTTTCTAATGACCTAAGGGGCCTATATGGATTATAATTCTGTAATGTGTTCAGCAGGTTGCTTCAGCCGGTGTTGGTTAGGACTTCACAGGAGCATTTTAACTAGTTACCCCTGCCTGATAATCTGTCTCTTTAAAAACCTAAACACCAGAGCAATAACCTAACTGTTGGAAACTAAAGGCAATACAGCGGTTATCGTTCATCCTGCGTTCATAAACTCTAAGCATATAGAGGTGGATGATAAGAAAAATGGAAAAAGGAAAAACTTTGTGGCTGTCATGATGGGAACATGACTAGAGATTGGAAAGTGATCAGTCGCCCGTTTTTTTGTCATCTTTTTTTGTAGTTTGCTGGTTAGGAGCTATATAGCTTGCAAAGTAGACAAGAGCATGAGAAAAAAAATAAGTTGAACATAAGCTGGACTGGCTGCTGTTCAGAAGGTGGTGGACATAAGAGTGCTTCTAAACCAAGTTCTAGCATCACCAATACTTTAAGACCCACTTCAATTTTTATACAGTTCATAGGGAACTCAGTGAAATATTTTGCTCTTCACCCCATCTCTAAGGGAGAGCCCATCAACCCTGCAGAGGAAGCTCATTTCAGCCGCTTGTATCCGGGGTCTCTCCCAGGTTCTTTCTGTCATAATCCAGATTTCATGACCATAGGTGAGTAGAGGAAAGCATTATAGCAGCAGCCACACTCATCCGTCTATGGATCTCCCCCTCTATTCTCCTCTCACTCATGAACAGGACCTCAACATACTTCACTCCTCCACTCGAGGCAGGAAATCTCCTCCATCCTGAATAATACAAGCCAGTCAAGAAGCATGGCCTAAGCCGCTTCACACTGGACTGCGAACTGCCACAGTGCCTGCTTTAGATCTTGGCCAGAGGGAGCCAGCAGAACCACATCATCAGCAAAAAACAAGAATGAGACCCTCTGGCCCTTGGTTATGCCTAGAAATACTGTACATAAGGTTGTGAACAGGACTGGTGACAGAGGACTGGTTGGGCAAACTCCCATGAACCCTCAAGTAGCCTGCACATTTCCACAGACGGGAGGAAAACCACACTGCTCCTCCCTAAGCGTCACCCCTAGGAACACTGAAAAGAACTTGTACTATGAACTGGCATTTGGTCCGTAGACTGAAACAAGTCAGAGACCTCCCTCCCGAAAGCGAAGGGATGCAACCTTCTCATCCACCGGTGTAAACTCAAATATGAGACGGTGGAGTTGGGGGGAGACAAGCAGACCCAGCCCCACCCTCCGTCTCTCCCCGCCTGGCCACTGCAGAGTAGAAGAGAGTCCAGCCTCTCAATGCGCTGGGTTCCAGAGCCCATGCTATGTGGGGAGGCAAGTCCGACTATTTCTAGTCAGAATTGCGGCACCTCCTGCACAAGCTCAGGTTTCTAGCCCCCTAGAGGCAGACTTTTATCTATGGATCAAGTCATCGAAGCCTCTGCCCGATGCCCAACCCTCTCTTGAACTGCTACCTCCACCACAATATGGTTGAGGTGTTTCAGTGCCTGGATGATCCCAGAGGCTATGTTCTCATTGGCTTAAATACTCCTGGTAGGGTCTCCCACACAAACAGGCTCTGGGTGACGGGTAAGACAAGGGGTGGCTCAAAAAGCCCCTGCAATGACAAAGTCAAGGCACATAATGTTGCCTGGTATGGTGGAGCCAAGACCCCACCCTGGAGCTAGGCCTGGGGTTAGTTGCTGGGCACCAGGTGGTTGGGTTCTTCCTTGGGGGGGCTGGTTTGGCCCAGCCTGAAGCACTGATATGTCGGCACCGGTCCATGAGGACCTCTTAATACAGAGGTGGACCTTGCAGCCCCTATATACAACATTTTACATCCCAATTTTGCCTTATTTGCTGATAAATGCTGTTAATGTCAAGACAACAAAAATGGTAACTTGAGCGATAAAAGGTTTAGAAGAAAACCACACATCTCTGAAAGACGTTACAGAAATTCCTGCCCTCACTTTAGCAATGACACAGATAAATCATTCATCAATTCATGGATCTTTACACATTATGCATAAATAAATGGACAATCTTTCACATTTGTAAAGATCACATTGCAAATGTGAATGTTATTCATAAATAACTTTTCCTGTTAGGGATTATATAATAGTTATGTAAACTGCAGCTATAAGCTGTCCATCAACCAATAAAATGTTTTAATCTGCATCCACAGTTCTGGCAAAAAAAACTAAGTTCTTCAATGAGATTATGCAGGAAATAAATGAATTTTTCAAATGGTCCTGGCTTCTTTAAAGATATTTTGACTGTAGTATAATGCAAGGCTATTATGCTAAGTTTTAAGAGCCAACGTTAAAGTGAATGATCATTTTTTTAAGTTCCTTGAGGTCAAAAGAAAATACATGACAATAACAACTTTTCATGTAGTTTTATTCCTTTTAAATAAATTAAAAAGTACCCAAAACATTTAAGTAGCTGTTAAACGTACCTTAAACCTAGGAAATAAAAGAAATAAAAAGGAGATTAACATCAGTTATATCTAGAAATTTGAGATATCTGATCATGTTTTGTTTGCGATGAAAACCGTCTTTCTACAGAAAGGGTAAACAGTTTGTCTTTCCTCAAACACAAACCATAATTTGGCAAAAGTCACAATAGCTTTTTTTTCTAATTTAAGTCAGCATTTTCACCCTAGTGTGTTCACATCATCTCCAAGTAGCTTCATATGTTTAGTTTTCCTGCAACATCTTACTGGGTCTTTCTAGTTTCAGTAAAGTTACACAAGACACCGATTGAAGGGTGATGGTTGTGAAAACTGTAGCCGACTTGAGCGGATAGAAACCGTTGGAAAGGAAACGCTAAAAAAAAAAAAAAAACATGGGGGCGCAAAGTTTCCTTATTTCTATAATGTTTTGCAAGACAGGAAACCGGAAAAAGGAAAAGATAAAAAAAAAAAAAAAAAAAAAACTCAGTGGCACAGCTGAGACAAGAGTACAAAAATATAGAGCAATGAATCATTAAATCTTGGTAGATGTGCTCCAAGAAAACTATGCAGCACTAAGGAGAGCATCACACGGCAAACACTCAATACGACTACAGTTTTAGACGTGCGGGGGGACACATGTAAACAAACACGGATCTAAACAGTACCACTCTCATGGCTCACAAGAGACAACATCACAGAATCTTACCGCCAGACTGTCAGACATTCATGAAACACAAAACTTTCACTATTTACACATTTGTGAGACGCCTGGAGCCTCAAAGGGCAAGAATTTAGTGTAATAAACCTCTGTAAATACAGAACTGAAGGTAATGAGGACAGCTGTGCTTACAGAAAAACAAAGCAAAACCTCATGCTTTCTGTAATACCGGCACACAAGTAAATAAAACTAGACAAAAAAAAAAGAGAAAGTTTAAATGGTGCAAAACTCTGTGGAACAAATATATAAATAACAGTTAAAATACAACAGATGTTAGCCAATAAATTCTATTGTCTCCTCAGCTAAAATGCAACATATGATTGTCATTACTCATCTTAAGCATAATCATTCTTAGTAAATGAGTCGTTTCAAAAGACATGACACATCAGTATGCTTACAAAAGCAGTATTTAACTTCTACCACTTCAGGAAGTGGCATTCCTGTCTTTAGTGTGAGTCTTTCTAGATATATACACACACACACAGTGTTTCCATATTCACTCCACTCACTGGTTTTGGCATGAGCACCTTCAAAAAAAAAAAAAAAAGTCATCAGACAGCGAGGACCAATCTCTTCTGAGGGAATTCTTCCTTAAGTGAATGCAAAGTGCATAGCATCAGTCCATCTCTATCCATCCAGATCTTTTAACGGGGCATCAGCGTGTGTGAAAAGAAGACATGATAGTTGCTAAAAATCTGGGACGTCCCTGATGCCTCTAATAACTGGGATGGTGGAAGGTAAGGTGCAGCGAGAGCGCTCTGGTCTCCGACGGATGACAGAATTAAAAAGCATGTCTGGGATAATTGCACTGAAGAAGCAGAGGTGAGCATAAACACCAAAGCCAGCCCTCCGCCATGAGGACTCCCCTGTTAGTCCTCGTCTCCAGACATGAGGAAACCAAGGATAAAGTTGATGGCTTTCTGTCGGTCTTGACTCGACTGCCTGCTGGCCACGTTAGGCGGCGGTCGGATGAGGAGGCTGGCAAAGAGGGTAGCTAGAAACACAAGATCCAAAAACCATGACTGTCGGTTCGCATTTATTCATTTGCATGACATGAATTATTGTTTGCTTGCACCGTTCTCACATCTTTGTTTCAATCACTTATTAATATCAAATAATATTCATAATTATTTTTATTAATATTCAATGCTCATTTGATTACATTCATTCTTGCAAGTTCTGATTCATCAATTCATTTAATTCTCACCTATGAATAATTCATTTCATTATTGGTTCATATTTGATCCTTTAAACTCAGTCCTTTTATTGATTTTTTTTTTTCCCCGTAGGTTCCCCTCATTATTCACCCTTTTCACTTATGCTTTTATTCAATTCAATTTTTCACTAAACCTCTGTATTTTTCTTTTCCCCATTGAAATGTTATTCTAATTACTTTTATTCACCTCAACACACGGTGCATCTCCTTTGTTTCTCCATGTTGTTATTTTTGTTTGTTCTTGGTCATTTAATCCAAAAGACCTTTTTGACTTGTGGCATCAGTCGTCTTTTTTATTGACATCAATAGGTTAGGTAAGCCAATAAAAATATAAACTCCACCCCTGGACCTACTGTAGGAGACAAAAAGCTGGCAAATATAGCTTGACTTTTAGACAATGTTTCCCATCAAATGCAGGGAGCTGTGGCAGAGCTGGAGAGTTCCTTTAATGACAGATGGCTTCACCATAGCTGCACGAGGGAGCATTCTGCAGATCCTTCCTACTTCTTTTATAAGTTATAACATCACTGATGGCAACAAACGAATTATTTGCAACTGTACTGCTGTTTTAATGCAGAAACACAGTTTTATTGTATATCTGATGTAATATTACCCTACTCTTTTGTTTTAATATCCTATTTTTAATAAATGCACCCTGTTGTCATATCTTATATTCCTTACTTTGCTCTATATTAATTTCCCTGCTGTTGCATAATATATTATATTGGTTAAATTGGTTTTATTTCACTCATTTATTCAATTGTTTATTCCTGCATTCTTGTCAACTGGGTGACTCATTCATTTTAATTCATCCTGATATACTTGCATATTTTGTAAGCATCTTTTTTAATTATCATTAGCAGTTCATACTAGTTTTGATTATTCATTGGTATTTATCACGATTTATTTTGTTCCTTTTGATTTATTTGGTTTATGCATTTAAGTTGACACTATTCTTTCATTATTAAGCAATGTCATTTCTCCGCCTGTATATGCAGACAAGTTTTTTTGTTTGGGGGTTTTGTCTCTATTTTCAAGTGAATTTAGTTAATTTGGAAATTGGTTTGGATTGGTTGATGTTAACTGGTCTCTTTTGTGTGTATTTGCTTGATTATTTTATTGGTGTTTGTCAAAGACTCTGAAATAAATTCCTATTCATTCACTCATTCGTTTTATTTGTTCAGATTCTCTTAAATTTCATCCATTCATAAATTGTTCATTATCATTTAACATCTCATTTTCACCTTTGTTCCAGTTCTTTTAGTTCATTTTTTCCACTAAACACACTGAATAAATTCAAATTCAGTATGGTAGATATAATCAGACAGAAGCCGCTCTCTCTTACCTATGAGGCTAGCTGTTAGGTTGTTGTTGTTTGAGTGCCTTAGCAGTTCTTTAAGAAAAGAAACCAAGTAGCGAAACACGTTCCGATGAGCACGGGGCAGCTGGGAGATCAGCTGTGAACAGAGACAGAGCTTCGTCATTAAGAGGATTGTTCATATTTTGCTGGATGACCACAGAAACAGAAGACCTGGCATCTCTGTACCTGCTTGCAGAGGCGGCTGTCATGAGAGCTGTCAAGGCACCGCTGGTACAGTTCATAACACACCACCGGCTCCGGCAAAGCCTCCAGAAATATCAGCAGAGCTTCAGCTACAGAGTGGTTACAACCAGCTGGGTGAGAAGTTAAGAAAGAACCAACATTTATGGAGTCTAATGGAGATCTATTGTGTTTGCACCAAGAAAAAAAATAATAAAAAAAAAGGTTCAGCCCACACGTAGTCTCCATGCTAACTTTTAACATTTTAGTAATGATTAGGCACAATTTAGATTATTTATAAATCAAAATTATTATAATGATCTATAATTTAGATAAAAAATTAGTTATAAGTTTCACATTGGAGCTGGAACTGGTAATAGATTAATAATTCAACATTAATCAGCATTTTCATAAAGTTTTAACAAAAGATGTCAATTTGGGACAACAATAAAAAGTTCTAACTTGTAAACATGTTATACAAACATAAACCACAGCAGGAACTGTGCCATAGCTGTGCTGCTGTTAAAAGATCCACAGTTACATATTTTATAGGTTTTGTTTTATTGTGTGCCTCAGAAGGTAACGGACACAAAAGAATCAGACTAATTTTTTTTTGTCATAGAAGTCTCTCTCTTCAGAGTTGAAAATCGCTTTGTTGGTACAGTATGCTGTATACCATCAGGTGTTTTCTTAGTGAACAATGTTTTTTTTTTTTCTACTGTCAGTTTTTCTTTCAGCAAATTATAACCTTGCCTCTTAAAAACATGGGAGGTTCATTTTACAGAGCTGAAATGATATGCAATAATATAATGTCTTCTCCAACTTCAGTTTCAGCAATTTCCCTCAATGCTGTCTAGAAGTACTTTGGGATCATATTTCTGAAGGGGGATAAGTCTGTGGCACTAGGAGCTGAGACCTGGCACAATTTAAGTGTTAGGAATGGTGTCTCCTTTTCTGGAGGAGCTCGGAGGAGCATATGAGACAACATGGGCAAGTTCTCTGTCCTGCACTTAGCTTTTAATGCTGATGGCAAATGGTCAGGAATGTTAGCCTGACCAGCCAGTTTGATTTACACAGTGTATAGAGTTCATAAGACCAATCAGATTATGCTAAACTGACTTATGACCCATGCAGGTGGTCTGATTGCTCAGGCTAAAGGGATAGAGCATTAAACTGTTACTATGCAGCACACATGTACATGAAATCAATCCCAATCTATGGATCAATAACAAATTATCTATGTCAGTTTACTCTGTTCAAATGAAATCCCAATAGGTGTTTTGGTGTCTATAATAATAATTTTCTCTTTACGTATTTTACACAAATGTCTTAGTATTTATTCAATTATATTTTCAAACACTTTTCAGACAGCTTTTTTAAATTATTTTCTTTTCATATGCCAAGTTACACTTAAACAAGTATTTTACTCAAACACTTTTTTATAATAAATAATTATAATGTTGAGGAATATATTTATTTTCAATTAAAGACCTTAATTCTCTATCAAATTAAACTCGTGTATTGACCTTGTTGCTATATTCTTTGAGTTATATTTCCCTTCTTGATGCCACCTGATCTGGAACCAAATATACCAATTCTATTCAGAGAGTAAAGCCCACCACCTGCAGAAATGGTGCCCACATCTGCCTTAGGCTGGATGAAACAGCCTCAGGTTATATCAGAACCACAGTCACCGTTCTGCAGCTGTCCCAGATCAAAGTATGTCTAAATCACAGTGACTAAAGACAGCTGCATGGCTGTCAAGTTTTAGCCCCTATTTTTATTTCGATCAACCTAAATGTCAGCAAATTTCATAGTATGACATGATAATCATCCTAAAAAGCCTGAGGAAACAAAGACACCATGATAAATAGAACTTAATAGGCACCAGGTTGTATATATATATTTTGAGTAGATGATGGGGTTAGACTGGATATTGCAATTTTATCAGAAATGAACGAAATGGATTTGATAAAATAATATCGAGTGGGACTGCTTGAGTGTTGAAGGATACGCAAATACTCTGGGATGCTGGTGTCCAGACAATCAATGATGCTCTGGAGCTCCTCCTGTAGACCTGGGGTCTGGAACAAGTCCTCCTGGGGGACAAGGTAGGAATACAAAAGCTCAAATACTTTAGATATATTACCATCTGAGATCACAGATCACTTTACAATAAGAAAACTCGATTTATATTGTGAATCAAAAACAAATTTAATCTTAAACTCAGCTCAAGCTTCTTCAAATCAGTGAGCTTGGCATAAGAACTCAAATCTCACTTAAAATAAATACAAGTCATCACTTCCACTGATCTCATGAGACCCAGATCCCATCACAGATAAACACATACTGTTAACCACTCAAAGTTTCCTTTGGGACAGAGAGATCAAGATCTTTTTTTTTTTTTTTAACATGACCCATCTTTCATAAAATAACTGTAATCTTGCAAATTATTTTTCTTTATTTATTAGGGAAATAAAGTAATCTTGGGAAGAATGAAGTGCTCTCACCCCTAGGGCTGGGTATTTTCGCCAAAATCCTGAATCGATTCGATTTTGATTAATAAAGTTCTAAATCGATTAATTTCGATTCCATCTGTTTTTGCAATAATGAAAGTGGTTCAACTGTGTTTCAAAATACACGTGTATTTTATTTTTTTCCTGTCATATTAAACACAAAGCGCAAAGTTGTAAATCAGACAGTTTAAACTTAATATGTGAACAAAACTGTCTCATAAGTGCAAACTTGTTTGTGAAAAGTGAAGCCTCACCCACTCAGACATGCATAAGCTGCATTATCTTCTCTGCACAAATCACATTTGCAGCATTGTCTTTAACAACTACAAGGTGTTTGCTGGTCAGCCCCCATTTGCTAATGTCTTCAGTCAACCTATTGGCTATATTTGTAGCTGTCTGGCTTGAAGTAATCGTGAGTGCATCTTTCCTGCTCATTTTGAATTGCTATGCCATAAGCCACGACATTAAATTTGGAAATTAGGATGCGATATCCATGGTGATTTGTGGAGGAAGATGCCGTTTTACTTTGCTGTGCTAAGATCTCCTAAAGTATTCCTTCAAGAACAATCACAAAAGGTTAAGAATCAATTATCTTAACCTGCAAACAGACACTTGGGAGATGAAGCTTTTTGCAGTTTCTATTAAAACTTCTTAAAACCCACCGGGTCGCCAGCGACAATAAGAGGTTAATGCCTTCTAATGTTCATTTTGGACAGTGTGCTAAGAGAGCAAAACCTAGCACAGCAACCTGCTTTATTAGAGGATTCCTTCCATGTTGATGTGTAACACAACTGTGCCATCTGCTTCTTTAGCAACTTCTTTTTGGAAAACATTTCATCTAATTTGGCTTCATCTTTGTCAAAATCTTTGTTTTGTTAAATTGTATAATTTAACAAATTAAAACAATTTTGGAACCAAATTAATACTATATTTATGACCTCATGTGTAAAATCCTATATTTGAAATCTGTTTCTTAATGGTACTACGTAGGGCTGGGAAATTAATTATTTTTCTGAATTCAAAATATATTCTGCTTTAATCTTTGTAAAATGATGTTTTTTACAATCAACTCCTAGGGCTTCTATAGTTCAGAAGGTTATCAGTTTGCCACTTTTTGTTCTTAGATCTCTACTCATTACTAATAAACTTTCTGACTGTGTAATAACACTGGCTGCAAACATACTCATGCCATATTTTTTTTTTTGTTGAAAAAAAAAAAAGCCAATGCCTGCCAACTTTTTTCACAGCTTGGATCACACCAAGAATCCTGGTCAACTCCCAGGATGAAGCACAACTGAAATAAAAGTAATTCCTCTCATTTGTCATTTTCTAAAATTAAACTAAAATGAAAAAAAATATATATATATATAATTCAGTATGAACATATTTTTAAGCCGGATCCACCAGCTCTAGTTCTGTGTGTAACCAATTTATTAACTTTAAAGGATAGACCTAATAAGGTTCCTACACCCTTATATGTTAAATTTCTTTAATTTTCTAGACTGGATCTCCTGAAGGTAACGGATCTTTAAATTTGGAGAGAATGGATAGAAGGAAGAAAAGGACAAAACACACAAGGGACAAAGGAAGGAAGGATTTGACTGTTGCACGGAGAGCAGAGCATAGAAATACAAATATCTTTCTGTGCTTCGTTTTTCTCCATAATTGTTCAGACAATAATTGTTCAGACAATTTTCCCATCCAACGGCAGACTGCAAAGTAACTGTAAAAATATGCATTATATTGTTGTGGCTCCATTTCTTATAAAGAGAAACAACTTGTGTTGGAAAACCCTAATTTCAAATTAATAAAGACTGAAATAATAAATGATCTGATGTTGGTGTTTTTGTTTGCCCACATAAAATTTTTTTTGAAGTTTACATCAGTTATTGCACATTTTATTTTTGTGGTCTTAAAGCGATTCTTTAAAAAAGTAAATTAATAAAAAAAAAAAATAATAATAATAATAAAAATTTAAAAAATTATAAAAAGAAAATAAAAAAGAAAAAAATTATAACAAAAGAAAAAAAAGAAAAAAAAAGTGATTATTTTTTTCCAGCGACTGAAGAAAACATGGTCTTTTAGGATTATTAATAGAAAACAACAAAGACAATAAAAAAAAAACAAAAAAAAAATTTTAAATACTGTATTTCATAATTTCTATGAGCCTTCTCACCTGATCACAGGATTTGGTGAAAAGGTGGTTAACCAGGATCCAAACCTCCTTAGGAATCTTCAGAGGTTTATCCTCAGGACTTCCTCCATCCACCAGCAGAAAGTTCATGCACTTTTCCTGAAATACAACAAAATCAAATCAAGAACACCTTCATTTCTGTTCTTAAAATACACGTTTAGAGCAATTTTTCTGTGAAAATGAGATCATGAATTTCCCACTAAAAATGGTATGTTTATTTATTAGTGGAGGAGAAAGATCGTCTCCAAAAGCTAGATAACTGAAGGCGAGCCTTTTCATTAGGCTAGATCTCCAAAAGCAAGCACAGCTATGTGAAGGAAAGAAAAAAAGGAGAGGACAATAAGGATGATTGAATGAAGCACATATGTTTCTACAGCAATTTAAGATTGGTTCTTTAAATTCCTTTAATCTGAGCGCTAAGGCAGGGAAAGGGCTTTGAAATTATAAATCCTGCTCTGAACAGAAGTGGATCCTTAGCTTCTCTAGACAACATGATATTTCAGAAGCTATAGAATCTGGACTGGACCCAGTCTCTAAAAAATTATTTATAAAAACAAATTACTCATATGTTACTCATCATGCCTAAAATGACAAAATAATAAGAATACCGGGTCAAATACAAATGATTAATAAACTATAAAATATGTAACCATAGCAAATAGTTCAAGGTAGGATTGCAAATTAACAAGAAATTAAATTAATAGCTAAATTGATGAACTGCAAGTTGTTAAATAAATTGAAGCTTCCATTTTGTTGTTTTCCTGCAGCTTTGTGCACAGAAATAATTGGGTTTTTTTGTGTGTACCCAGTGCCTGTGCAACAGAAGGAACTGAGCTGATCTAATATCTAAGCAGACATGCCAAATATATTTCTGCACTTTAAATGCCATGAGAGTTTTGTACTTACTACTTAAATAGTTTAGGTGAAGTCATCAGCATCTTGAATTTAATCCAAAAGGTAATAATGCTCAAAAAATAAAAATAGTAGAAAAGCAAGAGAATTGTTTTTTTTTTTTTCATTTATTTTAATGGATGCTTGTATTTATCTGCAGATTTAAATCCATTCAATATTTGCAGTCTGAGAGAAAAACAAAAAAAACAAAGAATCTATTATTTGTTTAAACTAGCAATTATTTTGCGAATCGATAAATCGATTAATAATCAGATAGCCAAAGGTTCCCCAAATAAGATTTTTTTTTTTATTAATGAAATTAAACCAAGGGAAACTAAACTTTTCCACTTGAGGAGTTCTGGATAGAACACATTGACGGACAAAAAAGCTTTTTTATTTTGTTTCACAATTTTGCTATTGCTACTGCTCTAAGTGGGTCGCTCTCTCAACTAAAGGTATGTTTTACAGTCTCTAGACTCCAGTTAACGATTAATCGTTTACTAAATTAGCTGACGGTTGTTTCAATAATTGAATAATAATGATCTGATTAATTATTTCAGCCCCAATTTAAACATTTATTAATAGGGTTAAATAATTATAGGCAACTAAAAGATGCATAGGCAATTTTGATTATATAAATGAGGGTTTGATTTAAACGTATAAATATCTAACCCTGTATGGAAAACAAAAAAAAGCAATTAATTCAATTTTTTGTAAAGTTCTAAATTTAGAAAAAAATCAATCAAGTTGCATTTTTTTTTCCAGTTCAAAAAAAGCAGCGAAAGCACAAAATGAATGACGTTCTTGCCAAAGAATTTATGCAGCCTTTAATCTGTGTCTTTATTGATGTCATTTCCTGACATGACTGATTTTCTGCTACGAGGAGGATGAATGAGGGTCGATAATTTGTCAAGAAGAAAAATGATGACAGACTCTAATCATGGATAAGGCTGACCTCATTGTGCCTGATAAACTGGTTTCTGTAAATGATTTACCTTTTCCGTATCGCTGTCCTCTCCCTTAGAAAGAAGTCAGCCCACAACCACAGCAGAGAAAGGAGCAAGAGGAGAAAGAAATGTAGAGAAAAACAGAGGAAAAAGATGAATAAAAGTAGAAAAACCTGAAGAAAACGTAATGATCTTCCATAAATATGTTTATATTATCAGTCAAGTAGGGAAATCAAATGGTTGAAGTGGAAAAACAGGAGTGACGGCACCTGTTTATTCCAAAGTTTGATCAGATAAGGTGGAAAATATACTGAGAGCAGAAAGAGGTGATTATGGGAAGACCAGAAACTCTTAGTATGACACAGACTTCAGCGGGTCTAAACCAAGTCAAATATTCCGAGTTTTTCCAGAGGTCCAGTCCAACGTTTCTGCTACTTCCTTGTTCACTCTGCCCCACACAGAAATATACAAGCTGAGACAGTTTATGCCTTCCAAATATAGAGCGATTTGTGACTGTGTTCACCCTGAGGAAAGAATAAGCCCTCACATGTTCACATGCTGCTCTCAGGAAGCAGAGTGAGAGCAGGTCACAGCTTTCTGATTAGATCTCAACTAAAGAAAAAAAAAAAAGGCTCCAACCAAATCTGTAATGTTAGGTAAACCAGCTGTTTTTTTGTTTTTTTTTTAAATCAGTGTTACAGCGTCCTACTCGTTCTATTTTTCTTACCAGGTCGATGAGATTCTCGACCTCTCTGACTGGCTTCTTTATGCGACACAAAGTCTCAAGCGAAGTGCCAAAACAGCTGGACAGGTAGTTCCCGGAAATGGTGATGAAGTAGTCTTTGCCACGGTCCAAGTGGAGCACCAGTATGTCGTAAATAGTGTCTTGTCCAGAGTTAAGCAGGGTGACCGAGTCTTTACTGACGTACACCTCCAGATAGATTTCCAGCGCCTCACCTGTTCAAAGAGGAGAAAATAATTAGATGAAATGCTTATTTTTCTAAGGAAACGTGTGAAGTGTGGCTGGAGGATTATAGTCGTCTGGTCTTTGCTTTTGTTTGCTTCTCATACAAAGAAGAGCTACATCAATTAGAAGGAAACTAATTCTCTTTCTGGCTTACTTGGCTCCAAGAATCCTTTGTTTGGCTCTGCACGCAGCCACGGCTTGCAATAGTTTGGATCATTTGGTTTGGGGATGAAGGCAAAGTGACAGGGAACCTGCCCATCGTTTGTAATAACGAAGCGCTCCTTCTGAAGCTGCCGGAATTTAACATCTTTAAACGTAAACTACAAGACAAAGAAGGCAAACAAAGCAAAAAAGTGAATCTCAGCTTTACTGAGGATTATATTTGGATTCTTTGCCACCTTTAATGGCGATTCATAAAATATTAAAAGCCAGTCGGAGGAATATTTAGTGATTACCTCAAACCTGCTCAGAGAGACCGAGGGAAGGCAGTCGTTTTCCAATCGATCCATGTCTCGAACAATGGCCTCAAACACCTTTTTTTGGCGATTCTCATCAACAACTTTCACCTGTTACACAAACAGACAGACATCAACATTAATTTACATATAATACATTTCCTAAGGCACAATAAAATAGCTAAACATTAATAGCTCTTTAAGAAATTCTTCATTCTCAGAGTTTGACAACAGTCTTGACCAGACAGTGAATGAGTCCAGTTTTACCACCTGATCTGAACCATCATCTCATTTGGGCATTTAGGTTACCGGTAAATGATTACGGCATCAGAGGTCCCTTTTTTTAATCTTTGATTATTAAAGCATAGTTAACCATATCATATGAAATATAAAAGATTTTGCTGAGTAAATGGATTCCTGTACATGTTTCCCTTCATATTGCATCACCATGTTTATCTGTAATTTAGTTATGTCAGTCTTTAGAATATGCACAATATTGCAATACAGGTGTGATGAAATGCAGAGTTGAAAAATAGAAAAAATAAATGAATATACAGTTGTTCTACACATCAAGAGACAAAAAATGCACAGCTGGAAGTAATCTCAGGGACAGATCGGGTACAGATGAGTCATATAACAAAGAGAATAAAAAAAAACATTTTTTCAGCAGAGTAATTATTATCGTTTTACACAATATAGTATTGTTTGTATAATTAGGGAGAGACATTTGTCATTTCTGTCCTCATCCATAAAGCAGATGCACATATGTGAATGAGCTAACGATACAGATCAGGTAGTGACATCCAGATACAGTCCACCCCTCTGACATAAATAAAAAGCAGATGAATGACTATGCTGATATATCTTTGCTTGTCAATTTGCTTTTTAAAGCATATTAAAACATAGAGAAAGAAAGCTAACATTAGCCTAGCATTGCACATTTGAGAACATTTCCCTGTGCACAGATCCTCAGCAGAGTGAAATGCACACTTGCTGAAGAAATTTTGTTGCAATGCATGCCTACACCAAAGGTCCTTCAGAAATATAATTGTTGTACTGTACTATAGAGCGCACCTCACCATAAGCCATGCCCAATACGTTTTTTTTTTTTTTTACTGGAAACTTACATATAAGCCGCATCGGGATGAAGAAGAATACCATAAAAAGTAAAAAAAAAAAAAAACCACTGGACTTGTGTTCCAAGTTTGAAGACGTTTCACTTCCCATCCAGAAAGCTTTCTCAATTTAAAGTTGAGGAGAATGCTAGCTCCTGTTAGCTCAGAGGAGTAAGAGCTTCTAATGAAAGATGGGGCTTCATCAACTCTTTATTTCAGCTCTGTAGGAGTTGAGCCCAGTCTCTTCATTGGTTCGGCAGCTTTAATGAGGCAAACAAATGTCAAAATGTGTGAATTTGGGACATTTGTTCTCCTTTCTGCCTGCCGCTAGCATGTTCTTGTGCTACATGAAAATTAGCCCCTTATTCTTTCAGTTCCAACTTTGACTTCCCCCTCTAGCAGGTTAGGAGAAATTCACTACTTATAAGCCCCATAGTTTAAAGTGTGGGGAAAGAAACAGCAGATTATAGTCCGGAAAATAACGTATTCGCACTTTAGAGAAAGTTAGCATTGAAGAAGCTTTGTAAAACCTGTTAATGGATGGACAGAGAAAAAAAGCATCAATGTGAAAAACAAAAGGAATATATTCATAATACTATTATAGAAAATGGTTTGTTAATGTGATGAATTGGAGTAAGTCAACAGCAACTTTGAATATATATCTGAAGAGGTTTTGTCCCTTAGGGTTTGTTTTTTTTCCCTTTACATCCATATGAAACAAATTGTGTACTTGCTCAATAACAAAACAATGAAAGTAATAAATACTTCAGTTTCCATTTGTCATAAACAAAACAGAGAGCTGCTAAGGTACGAAAATCAGTGACAGTTGAAAAAGAGAGCAAAGCTTTTTTGCCTTTGGGTTTTAAATATATATCCAAAATCAGCAAGTTTTGAACACTTGTTAAAACAAATTTTGAACCAGACCTAAAATAAACAAATTTTAACTTAATAAAATACACCATTTAAAACTGCTTCATTAAAGCTATTTTTAAAAAACTTACAAACCAGTTTTGTAAGTCAGGATACAAACCAGATTATGCGTTTGCTGCTCATTCGCCGGCTAACCATCGTGCAAAATAAGCCCGTTGCAAAAGAAAAGCTAAAGGTTAAAGACAGCAGTTTTTGAAAGCTGAACAGACTGAGCTATATCAGACTGTTAACTGGACCCTCCGTTTGGTCATGATGCATCATCAGCCCTTGCCTTAAATTATATGCATACCAATGCAGATAATAGTACTTACATTTTTATATCGTTGCGAAGCAATAAAATTATATTTAAAAAAATCTAATGGAAAAAAATATAAATAACCTTTATTACTAGGCTGTCATGTACTGTAGCGGATGTTAAAATTACATTTGCTGTGTGGCTTATATTAAATAATCATTGACTACATTGTTAGAGATGCTGGAGGACACACAAAGCAACAGTGAGCATTAGGGACAGTTTCTTTTGTTTGGAAGCTATACAAAAAAATATATTTGCTAATAATCTTCTCCTGGTCTTCTGATCTTAACTGGCAATTACTTTTATACCTCTAAAAGTTTGACTATCCCTTCTTTTAAGGTGATGGTTTCAAACAGCAAATTCTTGGGAGCCAGTTCCCTGTAACTTTCAGATTTCCCCTAGACCAACAAACCTGAATCAAACGGCCAAATTGTTTCATTAACCTGCAGTCAAGCTCTACAGAGCTCTGCTACAGAGCTAATATGAAACAGTGAAACATCTAAAAGCTGCAGATCAATGGCCTTCTGGGACTGGAGTTTAAGATCATTGTTTTAAGTTGTTAAACAAATATCTGCTACTGGACCTCTTACCCCAATTTTGAAGAGTGAGCTGACAGGCTTATGGTCACTGGTTCTCATTTCCATGTGACTTCTGTATTTAAGCTGCTGGACGTTGCTGCCCCTCCAAAGAATCCTATCACACCATGCAGGGATTCGGCACTTCCCACTGCAGGAAACAGATAAACGTTTCACAGGAAAACATGGGAGGCAAAAGGCATGAAGCATGCAAGTAAAAACTGCTAAATGTGCATTAGTGGAAGGATAGGGCCGGAAATGGTTTAATCTGGTGAAAACAGAACCATGGGGCCAAAACTGTAGCAGTGAAAACTCAAGTTTAATTACCCACGATTTAAAATTGCAGGCATCCAACTTATCTGGCCTGACTGCATCCAGAGACTAAAAATTCAATGATGGGCTCTAGCAGAAGTTTTCATCTGTATTTGTAGCAGATTCATTATAGTTTTACAGTTCAATTTCAATAATTATTACATTTTTTTCAGCTTTATTAGCCTTGAATGATGATGGTCAGATGGAAACTCAAAGGTGTAAACCTTTTTCCTATCTGTAAACACACCATACTGGAAGCACTCTCCAGTGCGGACAGTGATGTTTTTTAGTGTCAGTCAGGCATTGAAATTTTACTTTAAGAATAAGTCACCAGTTCATGCATGCAGCTGGATAGTGAGAGAGAACACAGTCAGTTTAACAAACTAAAACTCAAATCCTCAACTCAGAGTTTCCAACCTTAGGCTAGATCAATTCAGTTTTCGGTTTCCCAAAGGCTGCTGTTAGTTAATCAACTGTAAGTGGGTCCATTCAGAGATGAACACATGTGGAAGCAATATGAAAAGCCATTATCAGTGGAGCCCCGATTCAACGAGTCACCATGACAACAGATAACAGGAAATGCCTATTTCACACCATTGGAACTAGAGATTTTTACTGTAATGCAGGAAAAAAAAGAATTTTGTTTTAGAAAGAAAAACAGCGCTACAGCTGTAAAGCAGAGGAAGATGGCGAAGAAGATTGTTGCTCGAGTTAATGTGCAAGTTTATATGAAGTGCACTATGACAAGCCGTTTTAACCGTTAAAAGCCATTTTACAAAGTTAAAAAACTAAATTGTACTAGTAAGAATTAAGTTTTATATAGCCACAAATGTTTACACAATTTAAGTAGCCATTTTGACATTTATCAGCTTGACCTCGCAGTAAAATAATACAAATCCTGGCCAGTAATATTAGTAATATGGAGATATGAAATTAATTTCTAGACATCCAGAATGTTTATCTTAGATGTGAACAGTGTAATTTTGACAAGGAAAAAATGTTTTTAGATATCAGAAATACATATTCAGTCAAACTAATATCAATCAAAACAGCCTTCCAAAGGCTATTGTAATCACAGTAACATTCCAAAGAAAACAAGTTTATTGATTGAATGGTAGTATTCTGTTTAGGTGAAATCACCTTTCAGCTGATAAAGATCAGGTATAAAAACTGCTGAAACAGGTAGGACCTGTGTTTCATCTCATGTAAATCCTGATTTTGAATTTATCTCACATTAAACAGTAAATACTAAATGGCTGCTTGACTATGCAGTTGTTTTCTATAATGCTTTTATCACATCAATGTGCTCTTATAGATGCCATGTTCTGTTAAATCCATGTGAATTAAGTCTGTGTAATGCTCCAAATATGAGGACAGATATAGTCCGGATGTATGAGATGGATTGTCAGGTGAAACGATAGCGCTTATAAATATAACTTTCTGGATATAAATGATATCTATACGCGGTCTGAGAACCAATTAATATTTAATTATCTGCTAATTTAGTGTCACTCATGTTTTAATGTGTGTAACAGACCTAGTCAATTATTTATTTTTTCATTGTTCGCAAAATCAGGAAATAAAACAACATGATAGTCTTTAAGGAGGGCAGAGACAGAGGACACTGAGTTTATTGAGGAAAACCTCCATCTGACCAGGTTAGCTCTGGGGGAAACGTTACTATGGTAACAGGCACACAGGATGCATAAACTCTATTCGCCAAACAAAGAGAAATGTTTTCAGTAAACCTGCTTTTTGAAACAGGCCTGAAGACTTTCAGCAGATAGAGACTTGGATACGGCAAAGTTTTATTGTTTACTGCTTTCGTTAGGAATCATGCTGATCTTACTTTTGGAAGAAAAAAAGTGAAGCTATATCATGTGTATTTTTTTGGAACAATGAAAACATTTAATTTTGTTTTTTTTTAAACAAACTGATGCACATCATGTTTTTTTTTTTGTTTTTTTACCTCGAGTCATATCGGTCCGTCTTGTTGTCATACTTGTATGTGGGAATGAAGTTAATCTCTCCCTCCATGAAGTCTGTAAAGGCTCTTTTGGTCTGCCTCTGAATGTTCAACTGTACATGGAAAGTGCCAACAGTTGCATTTCATTTGGGAAACATATTCACACATCTTATATATGTAGACTGTACTTAATGCATATATCATATTTAGGTCAAAAGAAGTCCATTACCTGGTCATACTCCTGCAGCTTCTTCAACGCATTCGAAGCAATGAGCCTTTTGACTTCTGATGCATCATACATGAAGAGACGGTAATTTAGGTCTCCAAGCCAGATTACTACACTGAGAAACACAAAGTCAAAAGAAGAGGTTTTAAACAAAAGACTTACCAGGGTAATATGTTGGTAAATCTGACCAATCTCAGTCTGGCTGTTACGCTTAAAGTTAAACTGTGCTTAAAAATCTGAATAAAAATAAAAGGACAAAAA